TATATATATATATATATATATATATATATATATATATATATATATATATATATATATATATATATGCGTGTGTGTGTGTGTGTGCCAAGTGGTTCGCACTCGGGTGTTTCCGTTTGATGATGCAAATCATGATGTCAAAACAGGCAATCCACAGAAATCCGTTTTCTTTGATGGCGAAACAAATGCTTGCAATCCGTCACCAAAATCAATGAAGTTTGCGTCGATGCTGATGCAGTCAGTCAGTTATTTACACACGTTGTTCAGCTCAATAGGCACACCTACGCATCAAAACCAAACTTCACAAGATTGGTTTAAACTTTGGTCAAACAATTTAGAACATTGTGATCGATGGAAGAGACTTACATCTCGAAGCTCTTCCGTTCGAAACAACTTTGGATGATTGGTCTCATCGATAGCCTCTTTGACCAGCACCACCGCGTGTATCATGATTGCACCGGTTATGAGGCATGGCACTGACAGACAAACACACACGATACCACCGATTCGAGGCGCACTGCGTGGAAAACACGAAAGGTATTCGATCGATCAGCTGGTGTGTACCACTCAGAACGAACGAAATCCCCGATTAAAACAAAACACTTCCAATCCTGTTTGTCATAAAAGCAAATGGATCCTCGGGATTACTGATGGTGTACTTAGGACATGTATCGCGGTAAATATCATTTCTTTAATTTATCTATACATACAATCTCGAAACCAATGAACACCAAAACATCCAATCCTGCTTTAGATGCATTCACAGACAATATCATGATAGCCTTGAACTTTCGATTTCAGTCAATGTTAGCTCAAAGAAATGCAAAACCTCTGTAATTTAACTTCTCCACTGTTTTGTGTTTCCCGCCAAATCCAAGTAACCGTCTTTCTCCGCGGGTTTCTACAACTACAGTCGCAATACTCAAACAGATTTTTCGCATTAATTGGTGGTGGTGGTGAGGTGGAGTGATGATCAAACACGTGCTTTTGATGATAATACACTTTATTTCCAATGTGAAACACATATCAGCCTGGGCCGATTGTAAGTACGACGAATATCATTTCTATAATCGAATATACTGCAATGAAATGTCTAGGTTCCTAGGCTTTCTGAGCGATCTGAAGAGTGAACGATTGTTCGATCATATACAGCGAAAGGCTCTTTCTAACGTCATCCCTCACGAATGTTCATCAGTATTGGAATTCTAGCATAAAGGAGGGGCCAATGAATGCACCCATTTGTAATCGATTACCTTAAAAAGCCATAATATCCAAATGAGAATAGTTAATTCAAGCTGAGACTTAACGTTTGCCACAATCAAACTACAACCTTCAACCAGTCTAGTTTTACCACGTGTTTGTCTCAGGCTTTCATTCTGATAATACCTCATCTAAGCAAAAGGAAATAACAAACAAAAGGAGGTTGAAATGTACATTATTCTGTCTGGAATTTCATTTGAGTGTACAATTACGGGGGATAATTCGCGTAGTCCATTCCAGAGGCTAAGTCGAGCAAAATCAATGGCATACTTCAGGAACAACTAACTAATCGATAGAAGGTCCGCCAGTTCTGTTTAAAAGATATCTTGATTATTTCCGATGGAATAAGTATGTATCTCGCTGCTAACACTATTGATATCAACCAGCGAGTGAGTAATTGATCGGAACGGGTTGTATAAAGCAATTCACTGTGAAAAGTAAAGTATAGCCAGTGAGTCTAGCCTACAGACAGAAAATAGTCGTTCGTTTCCGAGCTACTTATCTGTAGTATTTGGAATAGGAATCGAACTCGTATTCGGATTGAAAACCTATTGCATTGAGCGAAGTCAGTTAGAACCAAGACGGGCTGTGAATACAGTTAATTCTACTCAGAAGATCATGCAAATATATATCACAAGCAACAAACGATCGTTGGTTGATTCTTCAATGCCCAATCGACAACGATATGGTTTATTTGTTTACCCTCTATCATTCAACCAATCCGGTTGGTGCCAGCTGAGACCTCAGGATTGTTCGGTTCATCCGTTTCTTGATTGGTTACCAGGACACTGTACCGTGGTGCGTGCGTACTCGTTACACGATCACCACAGTATTTCGCGGTGTTTAGCTTATCATGCGCACACATGGCCACTTCGTTTTCCCGAAGCATTAAAATATCGTTCCACAGAGCTGATATATTTTAGAGTTCAGCAATAGTTGTAAACCTGATGGTTATTCGGAACATCGATTTTATTTTCGTGTCTCTGTCTGGATTCGAACCGCGAATCATCGAGATTTAGCCGACACTACTACCTCTGAGCTTAACGACTGGCGGTTATCGACTGGGCGAATGGTTACATGGATTAATGATACTCCTATTGCGTTCCTTGTGAAATTGAATATGCCATGGTAGGTGGTCTGCCAGCACACAGATCGCGGGATAGAAACTGAATGTGCTCAATCTACTTAACTCCATGAATATCGACCAATGTGATGCTTTGAAATGCACCTCTATAGTTCACACTTTAAAATGACGGGAAAACAATCACAACTAAATCAATTCATCGATGAAAATAGTTGAAAAAATTTCCAACGGTTAACTTCACTGAGAAAGCTCCTGTGCATTATAATTATCCTAAAATTAAAATTACGGTTCTTGTCATCACCGATCCATGAATAAACTATAATCGCACTTTTATACGGCAGTGGTTACAATCACTGGTTGGGGAGGGGGAATCTGTTTATTGATTGGGTCGGGGGAAGGGTTGAAATTATCACTCACTTCTCTTGGAGTTCTTCTTTCTTAAAATGAACAATCAGTGCAATACCAACGGCCAGTAGAGCGGCAAATGCCAACCAGAGCAACACGGTACCTAAGACCATTTTGCACACGAGTTTTTGCCGCTTATTTTGGTCCCGTTCATGAAGCGGGCCAAGGTATTCATCATACACTGGTGACGCCATACTAGAGAACAAACTGTTATTCTGAAAGAAAAAGTTTATGGACGAACGGATGAGTCGAACTGTAAAACTTATGTATAGTAACAGTAATACTCAACTTGTTCTGGCAGAAAACAATTGTACGATCATCAGTTGAAAAAGAAGGCACTTCAAGACAGCAAATGAGATGGGATTTCAGTGTATAACTTGGTTGAACGGTTAACTTGCACCGCCCAGTCACCGCTTTCTTATTCGCCATGCCACATCGAATAACGATAATTCGAAGTAGTTGAAGATACCGTATTTTTGGGCAATTTATTCCCTCATGGTCTGACACAGTAAGACTCGTGAGATTCGTCGACACGGTGTACGATAGGTCATAGACCGGTTGAACTTCAAGGGAAGTTGTCATAGTTGATATATGCACGGATCACGAATGCAACGGAAACATTGAATCGCCCTAACACTTACACACTGGTATCTCACGTAACCAAGACTCAAAAAGAAGGCAACAGGAGTAATGGTACTTTTAATAAAAGAAATCAAGGGGATTAAATACAAAGGAAGTTTGTGGGGTCTTGTGTTCGCTGAGCTTGGCGTTTAGATCGCAAACGTTTCATCACCAGCTGGGGTGACATCGTCAGTGTGCACTGACGATGTCACCCCAGCTGGTGA